AATGGCTCAACTTCAGAGGCACCAGGAACCCAGTTCCCGAGAAATTGACCCCAGTTGTAAAATAATCATGTTACTGATAGCACCTGCCCATAGTTACACACCATGGATACAGGCGTGTTTCCACCGTTTCCCCTCTGCTCTCCTGTTTTCCCCTCCTCCCGGGCCGGGCAGTGGTTGGTGCTCGTTTGTTTGCAGAGGAGGAAGAGCCTCAGAACCGGGGCAGAGAGGAACTGAACCTGCCCATGAATTTTGGACTGCAGATAAGAGCAGAGAGGGTTTGGGCTCCTCTCCTTCTGCCCAGATTTGGGTGTGTCCCAAGGGCTGGCTGGGTGCTGTCTGCCTGCCCCCTCCCATTCTGAGTTCTCTTTTCAGAAGGGCAGTAGGCTCTATCCCTCTGTGAACCACAATGGCTCAGGCCCTTTTGTGCCGAATAAATGATGCACTTTACCAGCAGGTGCGCAAGGCTGCAGGCTTCAGGGTGTCTGAGGTCAGAGGTAAGAGGAGTCAAGGGCAGCTATCCAGCCAGTCACATGGGATCTGAAGAGAGACGGCCCAGAAATAATGGATTGTACTCATTTATTTTCTAATACAAGTGTCATTAAAGTTTGTTTACAGAGAGAAATTAGTAGACCAAATTCCCTTGAAATTCCAGGAGGGGAAAGCAAGATGTACCTGGCTATGACTTAGGACTTCTGGGCGAGTAGGGGGAGCACTCAAGGTCTGGGCACAGGCCTGGGGCCCTGCCACTGGCAAACCTGTGTACCACCTCCCACAGATGCCTCTGGACTTGGGTGTCTTTTGCCCCTCTGCACAGTTGCTGATGGGCTCTGAACTGTGAGTGCTGGTAATTGCATGTGTAATTAGCTTGCTCCTGGAGCTTTGGCTCAGAGAGAGGCGGTGAAGTTACAGTCTACCCTCTGCAGCTGGGGGCTCTGTTGTAGCAGGTGAGTTGCAAAGAGGTCTTGGGAAGGCTTCTCTCCTAGGTCAGTCCTGAAAGTGAAGGTGTGGAAACTAAGTTTGATTGGGACTTGCTCTCTCTCTCCCCACCCGCCCCCCCTTAGGTTTAAGGGACTTGATTGCTCACTTTAAAATGTTGCTGTAGTAGCAAGTGTCAAAATCTTATATAGAACCATCACTCACATAATAGGGACTCATGTAGCAAAACCCTGGGGGCCATGAGAGCACTGCTGGGGAGAGTATGATTGTCAGTAGATACTAGTAACTGTGGAGGGGACTTCACAGCCCCCTTTCTCTCTCTGCACTTACAAGTGGGTCAGAATTTTTTGCTGGTCGCTTTCCCCAGATAACAAGGTCCTGGAGGAAAGGAACCCTCCCTAAGTCATTATGTCCCTAGCACAACACCAGCACATATTGAGTATATGCTCAATAAATGTGTGTCAACATTGGAGAGAGAGAGAGAGAGAGAGAGAGAGAGAGAGAGAGAGAGAGAGAGAGAGAGAAAGTAAATATAGCTTAGTCTCCCATGAGTTCCTTTTGGATCTCATCTTGAGACACGTTGTTAAGGAATCTGGTTTTTTTTTATTGAAGGGAGGAAGTGTGGTGAGCAGCCTCTTGGTGTGGTGACACTGTGATGTGGGCTCTGGGCAGACTGTCTGGCTTCAGATCCCAGCTCTGCCACTAGGTATGGTGCCCTTGAGCAGGTGCCACATCTAGAGATAGGCCTGGCATGGAGGCCTGCTTTATGGAGGGGGGCTGTTGCAAGGAAATCTCATAAGACCGTTGCCCTGAAACCCCTGTGTGTGGACACTGGATGTGGCCTTCATTATCAGGTGGGTGCAAAGTCAGTGTAAAAGTTCGCACACCTCTTCCCAATGTGCACCATCAGAGCAGGGGAGGTAAAGGGGGATCATTGTGTGAACTGTTAAGTGATTTGAGCTTAGGCTCTGCTGTAGGAAGGAGACCCTGCCAGCCACGGTCCGGTTTCCTATGGCCTCCACTCAAGAACTGTATGCAGTGGGACCGAGTCCTTAATTGTCAAACTAATGCCACATTGTCATTAAATACCAGTATCATACCAGGCGGTTCAGCCGATTCAGTAAGTCTCCCTTGCTTTGCGGGAGGGTCCAGGGAACATACTGCCTGGTCCCCACTCTTTTTTGTTGTTGTTTTGTTTGGTTTGGTTCCCACTCTTAAAAAGGCTTAGAGTTTTTCTGGGGAAGACAGGGCAGAGACCTGTGTGTTGACATGCTACAGCTGAGGGGGGGGTGCCTGACTGACTGATGGGGTTAATGGTACAGGCAGACAGGTTGTGCAAGAAGAGGAACGATGGAGACTGAGCTGGAGTTGATGGAGAGGAATTTGGGTCCGATGGAGACTGAGCTGGAGTTGATGGAGAGGAATTTGGGTCATGGGGCACCACAGTGGTATGGGCATTCCAGGTGAGAGGGACAGATGAGCAGAGGCAAGGAGAGTGTGTCTGGGCCTTCAGGATTGTACACATCTGGCTCTGCCACTTGTTAGCTCATGACCTTGGGCGAGTGCCTAAACCCCTTGGAGCCTCAGTTTTCTTACCTGTAGAATGGGCTGGTAACTGTACCTACCTGGTGGGCCTGTGGGAAGGGTGAAATGAGGTGATCCAAGGGAGCACTTGCCACCTGATAAACTCTGACTTCTGCTGTTCTTTTAAACTTGACCAAGTGGCGCAAGAATGTGGGAGCCTTCGGTGCTGCACCTAGTGGTTCTTACTCTTTCCTGCTTCTCGGCGAGAACACTGCGTGTTCAGTGGAACACTCTACAAGCCTTTCTCTGAGCTGGAGACAGCCCTGCCCAAGGTTTTGTGCATCTTGGGAGGGGACACTCCTGTGTGGCTACTCCTCACATGCACCAGCCTGTGCCGTGGCCTGGAATGCTTCTGGATAGACTGCCCCACAGCCACCTCCCTCACTCCCTGCAGGCCTCTGCCTTTGTTCCCTGGCAGCGAGGTCCTCCCTGGCCACGCAGCCACAGTCCTGCAGGCCCCTCTCCCCTCTTATTAAGCTTTATTTTGCTTTGTACCCCTCATCACCACCAGCATCATGTGTTTTTCCACCTGGGCGGCGTGCACCAGGAGGACCAGCTCTCTGATCCACAGCTGAATCTCCCAGCACCTGGAAAGGTGCTTGGTCCATAGTAGGTGTCCAGTAAATACTGTTGAATGAGTGGATGGGGCATTTTGAGTAGATGGTGCTTCCAGATGTTAATAGAATACTCCGTGTTTCAACAATCAGAGTCAGGAGAGGGCCTTCCTACTCAACCAGGACTTCAGTTCATACCCTGAGCACAGTGTCCCTTGGGTAGCCAGGGGCCCAAGTGAGTATGTCCCTGGTCCTGACTCCAAGTGCCTGCATGGGCTGGGTACCTCTAAGGGTCTGCTCCCCCACCCAACAGCCTCACTCTCAGGTTCTATCCAATTAGCATAGGGGAGAGTTTCGTTGGCCCTTTGGACCCTTTGTGCAGAGAGAGCTTTTTGAACGGGTATGTATCCCTCCGGGTGTGAGAACACTGTCTGAGCGAGTATAAGTGAGCGTGTTTTCACCCAAGGAAGAGTGTGGGTGGGTGTGCCTGTGGGAGGGAGGCAGAGTGAGTGCATGTGGGAGGTGGGGAGGGGGGGAGAGGGGATGAAGATACTTGGTCTCCATCCCCTGAGGTTCTGAGTGTGCTGTGTGGTGACCCCGGAGCTGGGCAGAGCTGGTGTCCTGGCCCAACTTGAGTCCTCTAGATTCAGCTGCGGAGGGTACACACTCTTGCTGCACAGAAGCCGTAAATTCCAGGAAACTCCCTGCAGCCCTGCGGAGTGGGGGAGGGAGTGGAGGCTGAGGCAGGCTGGTTCCCTAGCACTTGGAGAACAGATGTGTCTGCCTCAGGGATAGCAGCAGAAGAAAGTTCAAACTAGAGTGTGTTTGCTCACTATAAAAGAGATGTTTGTGAGGAGGCCCTGGAGGGGAGGCCTGGTGTGGGGGTGCCCTGCCAGACTTCCTTACTGGGAGCCCACAGAGACCATTGTATCTTGCCGGAGGGGCAGGGGGGTGGGCAGTCAGAAATCAGGGGTGTGGGAGTTGCTGGGTCATCTTTCTGAGATTTACAGCCACCTCCAAACACAGTTGCTTGCTGCTCCTGAAGGAGGCTGGGCCAGAGGAGGTGGGGTCCCTTCCCACTGGAGGGCTGGATTGAAGGGGCCCCGCCCCAGGGGTTCCCGGATGACTGGCCAAGTGCTCACTGAAGCCAGTGAGGGGAGAGGAGGCAGGCGTGGTCCTCTCAGCAGGCTCTCCTCTCTGGCAGGCCCTCCGGCTGTTTGGAAGGCCCTAGCGGTCCCCTAGGCCCTTGAGCCGAACCCCCTTTGCGGTCTGATCTGAACCCTTGCCTGCCCCACCCCCTTCCTTCTCTACACTTCTGGGGCTGGCCTTTTCAGCTCTGGAAGCTGCCCAAGAGCATATCTTTGAAGCACAGCAAAGGTTAGAAAGAAGGAAGACAGAAATGTCCTCTGGGCTGGGGGAGTGGGAGAAAGGCATTCCATGCATGCTCTATGGGGGTCAGGGTGGTAGGCCTGGTGGGACGATTGGCTTGGCCTGGGAGGTGCCCGGCATGTCCTGCTACCCACTTCTGGCTGCCTGGCCCTGTTCACAGTGAGCCCTCCTCCCCAGGCTGTGGGTAGGGAGCGGGGAGCTGTGGCCTTTGTTTACGGTGCTTGTTTCAACCTTGGCTCACAAGGGTAAGAGCCAGGCCCTGCCATCCGCCCCTACAGGATGCGAGACCTCGTAATTGTCTTCAATTACAGAGCTCCGGCCCTCAGCCCTGGCTTCCGACAGGAACCAGAGCCCGAGCCCGAGCCACTTCCACGGGGGGCTGGGAGCAACCCAGCCCCCTCTGCAAGGTTTGGAGGCTCTCATGGTCTCCAGAGCTCTGGCAAATGCCCACGGGCCCTGGGCTTCGCTCACAGGGTGGCCTAAGGGCTGCTGAGAGCCCATCCCTGTTGAACACCCACCTTCTTTGTCCCTGATCAGGATGAAACTTCTGTGAGCAGTGAAGATTTTGATATGAACGACTCCACATGGATGTCAGCTGACCCACACCTGGCCTCCAGCCTGAGTCCCAGCCAGGACGAGAGGATGCGGAGCCCGCAGAACCTCCACAGCCAAGAGGATGGTGAGTGTCTCTCGGTGGCTGGTGGGGGAGAGGCTGTGCAGGACAACAGGGCCCTAGGAATCTGGGCCAGGACCTCTGGGGTGGCCCAGGCTTACAGGTGCCCCCACAATGTTCTCCACATCTCCGTGGGCCCCACTGCCCAGCTCCCGGTTCCAGGGAGACCAGGTCACTCCTCCCAAAGGTGAATGAATGGCTCTCAGGGACTGGTGGCCTGACGGCGGGCATCATGCTGGCTTGTTTGTCCTGATGCTCAGGAGCTGATGTGATTTCTGAGTTCCCACGATTCAGGTCTGGGTGGTTAACAGTGTGCTTGGCCCGGAACAGTTCATTTGTGCAGCAGTGAAAGCAACGCCAGGCTTCTGCCGCTCTGAGGGAAGCCTGTAGGGACAGGGTCCCTACCTGTCACCTGGCGATGGAGCAGGCAGTGCACTTGAAAACGTGCCCCCCGTCCCGGGGATGAGATGGGGCCCGGGCTGAGGAGCTGCCTGGACTCTTCCCTACCCTGGCCCTGCTGCCTCCAGGGCCTGCCAGGCGCCACCTCCAGCCTCCCAGAGAAGAGAGACTTCCTCTTTGGGGTGGGAGAGTTGGGCTCAGAAGTCACGCCCAGGAGTCTACTCCAGTGCCCCCTCGTGGCGGCCCCGGGATGCTGGGCACTGGGGCTCCAGTTGTTGGCCTCAGGGGGCACCTATGGCCAGTGTCCTGGCTGGGTTCCGTTTTCTGGGGAGGAGGTGACTGGGGCTAGGGGATGAGCCACACCAGGCCTCAGAGAACTGGGGTGTAGAGCTGGCAATTAGGAGGGGTCGAAGGTCGGGGCCTGGAATGTGAGAGGGAGGTGCAGGGTTAAAAAGGGGTGTAATGTTAACTCTGTGAAACGGGTTAGCCTTAAAGAGTAAATAAGGGGCAGGAGCCTTGCAGTTTGGGTCAAAGTTCATCTCCATGGCAGAACCGCTCGCCTCTGACTGCTTTCTCAGACCTGAATCCGGCTTTGTCTGGGAGGAGACTCCGCCCGAGGCAGCTGGGTGGCTGGGCCAGGGCTGGGGGGCTCAGGAGGTGGCTCTTTGAGAAGAGGGTGCAAGGCCGCTGGGAAAGAAAAGGCTTCTGTGCCTTGCTACCTCGTGAGGTCAGCACGACCCCTTGTGCTTCCAGCCTCCAGACCAGGACTACCTTCTAGCTTTCCCAGCAGGTGGGGACCTGGGCGGAGGCAGCCACATGCTGCTGGGGGTGCTGAGGCTGGGAAATGCCCAACAGCTGACCTCCCTCCTCAGCTGAAGCGATTGAGAGCCACACCCAAGGGCTACACCAAGGGCCCCTACAACAACGCTCAGCCTAGGGTGTCAGTTATATTTTCCCAAGAAGGATCCAGAACATGTTTTTTTAAAGAAAGAGAGTATTTTATTTTATTTTTTATATTTTTATTGATTTCAGAGAGGAAAGGAGAGGGAGAGAGATAGAAACATTAATAATGAGAGCGAATCATTGATTGGCTGCCTCCTGCACACCCCATACTGGGGATCGAGCCTGCAACCCCAGCATGTGCCCTTGACCAGAATCAAACCCGGGACCCTTCAGTCCGCAGGCTGACGCTTTATCCACTGAGCCAAACCATCTAGGGCCAGAACATTGTTTTTTTAAACTCAGAGCAGTAGGACTGAATGGGGCCCCAGCTTATTCTCAGACAAGTCTTGTGGTATTGCTCCCCACAACCACCCTCGGAGGTCTGGCCTCCGTTGGAGACAGTTCCAGGGACATTTGGTGATTTGGGGGGCTCTGGGGTCAGGGAGCAGAAGGGAGTGTTTCTGGGGTGGTCACGGGGCTTCCGCAGCATCACTGGCCCGCTGCCCAGAGGCAGCAGAATCATGAAGATGAAGCAGAGAGAAGCGCAAAGAGGCTGGTGGGGTCAGCATGTCCTGAGCTGTCCCCCAGGAGCCTTTTGGGGAGCCCAGCCTGGGTGTGGTCACTAGTATTCCCCTCACCTCGCCCCCTGCCATTCAGGTCCCCCTGGCCTGGGTGCTGGGCCGAGGCAGGCTGGCCTGCTGACAGAACATGGGTGTTTATCAGGGCGGGCAGCCAGAGCTGGAGACAGGGAGGATGGTGTTGACCATGATACCATCAATTTAATTATTTAATCAGAGGCTGTGTCTGGAGGCTGTGGGCTGATGTGCTGGCCAGAGGCCAACCTAAGCCCTGTGCGGGGGTCACAGGCCTTCAGAATGCCCAGCCTGCTGGCCCTTCTGGTCCCAGATCTGTCGGTGACGCCATGTCAGACCAAAGCAATGGGCTCCCAAAGGGTTGTGGCTGACACAGCCCCAGCCCGGAGTCCTCGTCCAGCCCTCCAGCTCCCACAGTGGCATGCAGCCAGCGTCCTTCTCCGAAGGTACTTAGAGTGCAGACAGCCTGAGCTCCCGCTCCCGTCAGTGAGCCAGTGGGAGACCATCGGGGCTGCAGGGTGTTCTCATGTCCCCTCTTGTTAACGAAAGTGGGGACAGGCCAAGCAGGAGCTCTAGTTGGCGCTGCACTCCACACCCAGCCACAGCCCTCCACGGTCTCCGCTCCCTGCTCGTATGCCTTCATCCAGAGGCTTCCCCAGGCCCACTGACCATCTCTAACCCATGGAAGTGGCAAGTTGGGAAGATGATGTCTGAGGCCCCCACCGTGAGCTCTGAGATGTGGACCGTGTCAGTGTCGCTCTCTGCTCCGTCCCAGTGACTGGCGCTGCATGCCAGGCACATTGGAGGGACCTGCTGAATACTCGTGGTCTGGATGAGTAGAGGAACTACTTTTTTGAGACCTACCAGAGAGGATATAGGTCTGCCCCTTGTTGAGGACAAGTTGGGTTTTTCCTCCTCCTCCTCCTCCTCACTTTTCAAGTTTTAACAAAGGCAGATGAAGGCAGGGCAGGTTCCAGGGCTGACACCCAGGAATGAGTGATAAACAGGCCAGCTCCCCATCTCCACAGTTTTTCTCGAGGTTTGCCAGCCGGTGGGAGTGTGCTTGCAGTCAAGTAAGCTTATTTTTCTTCCCCAAGCCCTCCCTCCATTGCCTGCAGGCTTTACTTCACAGATCTCTCTGTAGCCATTCCCAGCTCCCTGAAATCACAGCGTTTGGCCGGAGCACCACTTGCAAGGCACTTCCTCGCTGGGGCTGTAGCTGCCGTGGTGAGCACATCACCCTTGTCTCCTGTCAGGAGAGGAAACAGGATCAGGGAGCGGATTTGGGCACCTGGCCTGAGGCAGGAGGTGCGCAGGCTGCCCTCTTCCTCCTTGGCACGCGTCAAGGCCATGTGTGAGGTTCTGGGGACCAGGTCTCGATAAATAGTTGTTCCGGCCCTAACTGGTTTGGCTCAGTGGATAGAGCAGCCATGGGCAAACTACGGCCCCCGGGCCGGATCCGGCCCGTTTGAAATGAATAAAACTAAAAAAAAAAAAAGACCGTACCCTTTTATGTAATGATGTTTACTTTGAATTTATATTAGTTCACACAAACACTCCATCCACGCTTTTGTTCGGGCCCTCCGGTCCAGTTTAAGAACCCATTGTGGCCCTCGAGTCAAAAAGTTTGCCCACCCCTGGGATAGAGCGTCAGCCTGCAGACTCAAGGGGTCCCAGGTTCGATTCCGGTCAAGGGCATGTACCTTGGTTGCGGGCACATCCCCAGTGGGGGGTGTGCAGGAGGCAGCTGATCGATGTTTCTCTCTCATCGATGTTTCTAACTCTCTATCCCTCTCCCTTCCTCTCTGTAAAAAAAATCAATAAAATATATATTTTTAAAAAACAGTTGTTCCTCTCTTCCCCAGAAACGGGCACGGAAGCCTGGGAACCAGAGGAGGCCCCCCACACCCAGAGCATTGCCTTTTCAGGGGCCCAGAGCGACCCCTCCCGTGCTGCTCACACACAGCCAAGACCCCTCCAGACCACCGCTAAGCCTGCTGAGGCTCTGCGCTTTCTTTGGAGTCCAGACAGCACTCTGGTCTCGACAGAGATGCCTGGAAAAGCACTCTGGCCCAGGGCTGCCTTTGGGGTTGGAGAGAGGATGCCTGGGAGAAATCAGCTGTTGAGACTTTGCCCAGAGATACTGTGGTCTGGTGCTGACTTGGGCCTGAACAGCGTGTCAGTCTGTAATGACGCTCTGTCAGTGGATTATCTGATGCCGTCTCTTCCCGGATACCATGAGCACCCTGAGAGCACAGGGCCTGGCCCAGAGCAGGCAGACCAAAATGTCTGTTGAATGAATGAGTGAATGCAAGAGTGAACGAGGGCAGGCTCCCAGGCAGGTGAGCCGCGGGCCGCCTGGCCATCGGGTACGTGGCGAGGCCAGGGTCCCCACTCCAGCAGGCAGCGCCAGGCCAGGGCTCCCTCCTTCCCTTTCCTCTTGATGTGCTTCACCAGGCCTCTTGCTCTGCCCCTTCCTGAACGGAAAATGTGAGGCCTGGCCTTCAGAAGGGACGCATGGGGGTGGGGAGCGGACGTTACTCACCCCCGGGGCAGACAGGAAATCAGCACCAGGAGAACTGGGGGTCCTGCTTCCCTTTTCCTGCAGGGTCACCAGGAGTTGCCGGCTGGGTGGTGTCCTGGGGCGTCCCAGGGCCTCTTGTTTGAGCCTCTCAGATGAGACCTCCTCTAGCCTCGGCCCCTGGGACCCGCGGGGCCTCAGCGCTTCCTTCCCTCTGGGGATAGGGAGCCAGCTGACCCGCAGGCCTGGGCCTCCCCTCCAGTGCCCATTACCGGGCTGTGAGCCTTTGGTTCTTTCAGGCTCGTCATCAGGTCTGTCATGGGAATAGCGAGCCTCTGCCGTGACATGCAAACAACCGTCAGCCCACCCTGCCTTGAAGGAGCCTGCCCTTGGGGCTATAAGCTTCTGAGGGCAAAAGGGGCATCTCCGCAGAAATGTATCTTATTTTTCTCCTTATTTCTAAAGTATTACATTCAATGTAAAAAATTTAGGAAAAGATAGAGGAGAAAAAAAATGAAAATAAAAAAGACCAATGTTTGGGGCATATTTTT